TGCCTTGAAGAAGGGACCCTGTGCGGCCCCGAAACGTCGGCTCTGTTGATTGTAGTGACACAATTGTCCATTAAAAAAGGACATATTTATTCTAAACGAGTGCTGGTGACCTGTTTCTTTTACTTTGTATTTTGCACGGTGCCATCCGTGATAGTCATTGCGAGCACCACCGTTCTTATTTGGCCAGGACTGCTGTAAGGTGTGCGGAGAGGACCCCCACCACCTGAAAAAATGTGTTGTAAAGTAGACACTGCTCCAAGCTCACTCCAGTCACTGATTCCAGGGATACAAACAGTAACTTCACACGCGGCAAGAGATCTGGTCTATATATGTCCCCTTAATAGAACTCCATGACCCCTAAGTGTACCTCACCGGCTGCCCGTGATCCCTGAGGAGTATAGCGTGCGGTTCTCCGACGCGATCCCTCCATCTATTGTTGTTCGTGGCGGTTTACCTTCGACAGAATCAACCTCCTATATGATTTCGTTGCAGCTGCTTCATGTCATCTAGTTTTTGTTGCTTTGATTATACATCTGGTGAGGACATACATGAATACAGTTCTCCCGGAGATCTGCCTTCTTTCCCCTGAAGAAGCCCCTTCTGGGGGTGAAACATGTAGGGACCTATAGGAGCGTCTACATCATCTGAAAATAAGTTACCGCATATCTCGTGAACCTGCATACTCAATATGTATTTTTATTAATGATATATATTTTTATTGATGACATGATTTTGTACTTTATTTTTTGGTTCTAAACTATGTATACAACAATTTAGTGAATAAATGTTTTTCTAAGACTTTTATATACGAGGTCTGGACTGGTTTCTAAAAAGCCCCCTTTTCTCTCCCCACTGGGTCCTTGCACAGCCCACTGCGGAAACAATCTGTTCCTTTGTATCCAAGCTCACTCCAGTGATGGACGACAATCACAATACAAAATAATAAACTGAACATGAGATTGTAGTCCATCACAGGAGTGAGCTTGCAGCGTTGGCTACTTCACAGCATACACAAGGACCATGGGGAACAAAAGTAGCTGCCCTCCAGAAGCAAGGACAGTGTCAGCACCAATTCAGAGATGATTTGAGGATCTACAGCTGTGTGATGCACAAGTAACATACATTGTTGTAAAGGTGCCCATACACCTTACGATTATCAGACGAAACATTTTGTCCAATGATTGAACCGTCGGACAATTTTCGTACGACGGCCCCATCCTGCCCGATTTCAATCGGCGGTAGTTTAAAAAAAACACCTGGACGACTTGCGGTAATTGACCGCAATTATTTTCACTTGCGCATGCGCAGTGTTAATCGTACGACTTTTGACGGACGGAAACGCCACAAACCATGCGAACATCGTACGATCGACCAAAGTTTTCAAACATGCTTGACCGTCAAAAGTCGTACGATTATACAGTACTATCGGTCGGGCACTCTATTCACACGTTACGATTGTCATACGAAAAGTCGATCGCATACGATTATAGTACGATAATCGTAAGGTGTATGGGCACCTTTAATAGTTAAGGTACTTGAATGCATTTTTAAGATTTACTGTAACTCCTAAGTTTAATGTCACTTTAAGCCAAAAAAAAGGGTTGTCTTTAGTTCTCTTTTAAATAGTGTATTTTTTATGAAGGTCTATAAATCAGACCAGAAAGAGGAGAAACGAGGGACAGGGGGATTTGGTCTCAAAAAAGGAACAGTCCTTCCAAATAAGGGACAGTGTGGAACTATTCTGCATGTCAAAATAATCAGTAGATACGGAGATCTGCATAATATTTTTTTTACATTTATGAATATTATTTGTATAATAAAGTTGTATAAAAATCTTGACTTTTCCCATAAACGTTGAGTTTGACCCCACTTTCTCCAGGTTTTTAAGTCATTTTCTGATCATGGCCATCAAACATAATATTTTAGATTTTGCTGGTTAGATGGGATTAAAATCAATAACAAGGCAACACACATTTGTGTGCAAAGCAGGTGTGTTGGGTTGCCATTCAGAATGGAATTATCAGATTGCATTAGTGTGTACTAGTGTGTAAAGGTTTAATTTTTTTCTGTTTTAATCTTCATTCATTCAAACAAGAAACATGTTTGTGGTTGAGTATGTTCTCTGAGTCTATTCACTGAAAGGATAAACAAGCGGAATTCTTAATAGTCACATGGAAATTATAACACTATTCATAGGAGTTGGCACATGTGGCTCACATATCAAGCGCTTTTATTATCTTATAGAGTAATAGTATAGCAGTGTAATATTTTATTTTGGGAGTCCACACAGTATCTGTCTCTCACTTCTTGCCCTCAGTCTCTCAATCTCGCTGCCTCTCCTGGGTCAATGCAATAAACATGCTATTAAACCATATCCCAAATTCCAGTGGATTTTTCCAATACATTGGCTTCAGCAAAGGAAATGTTAAGGTGCCAAACAAAGAAGTACTACCTAATTTACTACACCCATTTATCAGTTTTAGACCATTGCGTTTCTATAATTATCAGAAAAAAATGCCAATTTGAACATAGAATTTAGTATATAGTATATGTGCTTGGTTACTGGTGATACTTTGCAATATTTGACAACTGTTCCATAAATAATGCATTCTTTATTGATACCTTCCTATACTTTATTTAAGCCATGTTCTGCCAGCACATGCGTGAATGTAATGTAATCTGTAAAGTATTATGGAGTTCCATTTGGAATTAGGATATCTGCAGATGCTTCTCATTTCTGGTGTTCTGCATCGATGGCTGTGTACACATGGTTAAATTCAATGTGTATAAACTCACAGCCTGGTTTATGTATAAAATCTTGTATATGACATGGAATGTGAACTCGCTGTCAAATAAAACACAAATTTCACATTTTAGTCTGTAACCTTTTAAATATAGTTAACATTTTCATTGTTTATTCAGTTAATGTTGGTAATATATCAAAGATTTACAACAACATACTTAACCACTTCAAGACCAGGTGTTTAGACCCCCTTCCTGGCCAGGCCATTTTACAGTGTTCAGCGCTGCAGTCCTTTGACTGACGTTTATTCCGTCATGCAACGCTGTACTGAAATGAAGCATTGGCTTTCATAATGATGATAGGATTCTATACATTTGTGGTGCTATAGTCATTTTACACTCCTGTCATAATTGAAGGTATCCTAAAATGCATGCAGGTGACACATGATACCTAATACATCTGTTTTGTATCCAGATATAGCTGTAGGTCACCCCAATGCTTAAACCCCATCTCATAGTCACAGTGTGGAGTGTGTGTCAGAGCACATTGAAAACCAGACAAGCATAAGGTGCTAGTTAAAAATACTTTATTAAGAAAAATGTCAACAGGAACACGCAAAAATCATAAACAGGAACGCGGTGAGGAGCCGGAGTGGGCAGTAGTATAAGCCAGGTCAGGAACACGGAGATCAGCGTTGTCAGGAACAAGCCAGAAGCAGGAACCAGAGGAGACCGTCAGCCAGGATCGGGTCATACTCAGAATCAGAATATACAGAGCAGCAGGAATGCACTAGCTGGTAAAACCACGCAGGGTCAGACTGGACTGAGCAGTTTAAATAGTGAATTGGGTGACATCAATACTCAGAGACAGGAAACTCCCATCTGGCTCTCTCAGATGATGCTCGATGTTTGGCCATAAGAGGGAGCCTACGAGTAGTGAGCAACGTTACACAGTCTGCTCAGACAAAGAAGGAATCACAGGGGGGTGGAATGGCAGCCAAGCCAGAATAATGCAAACCAGTTAAGTCAGGGTGGAACCCTGACAGTGTGAGAGGAAGAAGCAGTATAAGAAGCCAATCAGTTCATGTGAACAGAAGCATGCTGATAGGAAGAGAAAGCAGAGTGACTGTAACACCCCGGGCACTCCTGTGTGCGATGACTAACCGTGAGGATGTGCTGCAGAGGGGTTTAACTTGCTTTAGGCAATGAGTTATGTCCAGCTTCCCTGGAGACTAATAGAATGCAAGTGCAGGGAGTGTATCACAGGCTAACAGATTGCAAGTGCGGGAAATGTATCACACATACTCCCCCTGAGTAATGCAGATGGATATATAAGCAGTTTCAGGAATATTCAACATGCAATCAACTTGATAGTAGAACAGTGAGAGGATATTTTATATCAGAGGGAGAATTTCATAGACAGTCATTTGTTTGGGCGGACAAATGACCGCACGTTTAAAAAAAAAATGTAATTTTTTTTCTTTAGAAATGTCAGTTTTGCTGCAGTAGGTCCTATAAATCGTACAGATTTGCCACTTTACAGGCAGGTCAAGGGGACCCCGAGACACGATATTTAAATGACTTTTTCATTTTTATTGTTACCCTTTAAGTGATGTTAAAATCCCTGTCCTTTCAAAAAGTGTATTTATTTATTTTTTTAATTTATACATGTCCCCCAGGGCAGTACCTGAATCCCCATTCCCTTTTTATGGCCAATAACTTGCATATAAGGCTTCAAAATTGGGACATTTGATTTTCTGAGTTCTGAGCCCATATACTTTCAGTGAGTTCGAATTCAAACTTTTTCCATGTTCGAAAGTTCGAATTTGAACCTAACACGGGGGTGTTCGTCTCATCACTAGTACTTACAGAGGAGGAATGCTTTGGAGCACAGATACACCATATAGGCCGCCTCAACTTGGGAGTGGACTTTGCCAACCGACAGGTGGACCTCATAACTAGCACGGACAGTCTCCTCACATGGGATTGTGTGAAGCCCCCCTACGCATATAGGGATACAGTAAATCAGATATTAGAAAACACAAGCAGTGAGCTGAAGACCAATGGTGATATCTAAAGAAGAAATGATTACAACAAAGATATAGTATATTTGTAGCTCTGATGTTTATTGCTTGTAGCAGTACACAGTTTTGTTGTTAATGTATGCATTAGTTTTTTAATACATAAATATCTATTTAGCAGTTGTTTGCATTAGCTTCTCTTTGATATTTTCTTCTGCTTTATTTACTTTCTGAAGTACAGCAAATAATAAGTGGACTTTCTTCACTTTCAAAAACAAATCACACTCCAATATGCACATTATACTATGATGCAACTATGATGGAACACAATCTTTAAAGCCGATAGCCCTTATACATTAAATATACAATCATTTAACGTCTCATAACTCTGATAGGGGTTTTGAAGACTTTGACTGTCCTCTGAGATATTCTTAAGAAGACTGGAGACATCATCTTGCGGATTCCACAGAAAATAGAGGTCACCAGAAAACACTGGAGAGCATGCTTCTGGTTGAGGTATTGGTGTTAAATATGGGTTTTCTGGTACATCTTCTCTTTTTGGTATCCGACCAATGACAAACGTCAGTAAATTCAGTATTAGCTCTAGGAACTCAGCCACTGTGCACACAGACACCCCAATCCAAAGTCCTACCAGACCTCCTATACTAGAGAACAGGTCCACCAGCTACAAGACAGAGAAAAACATATACATTAAAATCTCTCTCTCTCTCTCGGTTGTTTTATTACACATTTTTCTGAATAAATGGTATTTCACTTAGAGTTGGCACTCTGTGTTGTTCTACTCTTGTTTGCATATATAACGGGAATCCCTGATCCTTGTGAGGAGCAGCACCTAAGGGTGAAGTTATGTGTCATGGCAGGAGGATCGCAAAGGCTCCATTAGCGCTGAGATCAAGTTTTTATATGTTGTTGATAAGGAATAAGTTAATAGGAGGAAAAAGCAGATGCCGGTCCACACTGTCAGCGGCTCTATACGGCATCCCATCCAGCTCACTGACGTCACTGGTTGGCAGGTGCTCGGCGGGATGCAAGCCAGAGCGTCCCACTCAGCTCCTGGCAACCAGTAAAGTCAATAAGGTGGCAGGTAAGCCGCACAAAGCATCACAGATGCTGTGGCTGCCCCCCTGTCACCCCACCACCACCACCACCAGACAGAGTTTACCCCAATGAGATGCCGCCTGGGGCAAACACCCTAGCCTGCCTCGTTATAGGCATGGCCCTGTTTGTAACCAAAATTGTATGTGTACTGGGTCAAAATAACCATTCAAAGCTGATTTCTAGCTGATTGTAATAGAGTACTGCACCTCTGTCTTTATCCCATGAATATAGTGTTAGATGAGCAGCAGTGTGCAATGCAGCAGAGCCTGAGTGGCTTATAGTGCTGCCCCTATTCTCCCAGCCCGAGCTCAGATGTTTAAGATATTACAAAAGGCTAAAATAGAGGCACAGCTGGGAACTGTATCTGAAATTATGTTGTGTTGAGTGAAATAATTAGTCTTATCTGTATATGCTTAGAGTTCAGCTTAAACTGAAGACTGACAACTACTATGTATAGTTACCAAGGTGGCTTGACTATGTCCCACCTGTATATGTCAGGTGATCTCATATCTTACCTGCATTGAGGGCACTTCTTCTATCAATTCATAATTTAACTGCTGGTAATAAACCACGACCTTTACCACATTGTCCCTGATGGAAGAAAAGAACACTATTTAGAGTATCAAATTAAGTGTAAAATAAATATATATGTTTAATTTCCATAGTAACGCATAGTCACATGATTGAGAAGCAGTGGTATGAGCAATATTCATGAATATAAAAAAAAATATTATGCAGATCTCCGTATCTACTGATTATTTTGACATGCAGAATAGTTGGAGGGACTGTTCCTTTTTTGAGACCAAATCCCCCTGTCCCTCTTTTCTCCTCTTTCTGGTCTGATTTATAGACCTTCATAAAAAAAAAATACACCATTTAAAAGAGAACTAAAGCCAACCCTTTGGCTTAAAGTAACAATAAACTCAGGAGTTAAATCTTAAAAATGTATTCAAGTACCCTAACTATTAACAGAAATGTATCTTATTTGTGTATCACTCGGCTGTAGGTCCTCAAATCATCTCTGAATTGGTGCTGACACTGTCCTTCCTTCTGGAGGGTGGCTACTTTTGTTCCTCATGGTCCCTGTGTGTGTTGTAAAGTAATCACTGCTCCAAGCTTACTCCTGTGATGGACTACAATCTCACGCTTAGTTTATTAATTTGTATTGAGATTGTAGTCCATCATGGGAGTGAGCTTGGAGCGGTGTCTACTTTACAACCCACACAAGGACCATGGGAAACAAAATTAACCACTCTTGAGAAGGAAGGACAGTGCCAGCACTGTTATGTATGTCAGAAGCAGAGCAAACACAAGGATAACAGTATTAGGGTACAACATTGGGCATACCTGACTCTCATTTGGAAGAGCTGCATTTTCCTTTTTACCTGAGAAATTGTGACTCTGTGTCACTGTACTGCTTCTTTATTTGGTCAACGATATTGTCATTTGTCAGTGAAAAACCTACTATGTGAAGGGAAATGTGTCTTCCTTGCCACCTTGCATAGATGAGATTAATGGCTCTTGGTTATAATAAAAACACAAAGGAAATATCTGTTGTACAATACATTCTATCCATGGCCATTCCTTTCTGTGTCCAAGGCAGATAACTATATGAATAAATGTTTTGTTTTTTATCCAAACCCTTATGGGGAGACAGTCTATAAATCTATCAGTAATTATGTTATTTTGTATATCTCTGGTAAATTGAGGGGGATTTATCAAAACTGGAGCAGACAAAATCTGGAATAGTTGCACATATTAACCAATCAGCTTCTATCTTACATTTTCAAATCTTAACTGAACAAACTGAAGAAAAAATCTGCCTGCTCCAGTTTTGATAAATTTCCCCAATTGTGTCTTTATTATCAGACTCAAAGCAAACTTAAGTCTGATTTGATTTACATATTTCCGTACAATCCACAGGAGCCTGTTTGCTGTGAAATGAATACAATTGTTCATATACTGTAGATGCTGGCTAAACAGAAAAAGAGATTGAGAATACAAAGTCCTCAATCTCTTTTTCTGTATCCCCTGTTATAAATGAACAGGAAGCCTATATACTGAGTGTTCCTGTTAATTCATAAACTGAGGAGATAGTATGTTTACCATGTCCACAATCATGAATGAACAGGAAATTATGTAGATCACTTCCCATTCATTCATAATTGGGGAAACAGTAACCATACTATGTCCTCAATTACTTACAAACAGTCAGCGATCACTGATCACTGACTTCTTGTACCCGCTCTCCTTCCTGGATCGGCTGTCACAGGAGGCTGGATTAGTGGTGCGGGGAAGAGATCTCGATCTCCTCTGACAGCTGACTCCTCCCCCGCACTGCCAGACTGGCCTCCTGTGACAGCTTGCTCTGCCCCCACACCGCTGTTCTCATCTGTCACAGGAGGCTGGATGGGGCAGGAGAAGAGCCCAGCCTCCTGTGATAGCACTGAAAGCTGTCTCCGTCCGACACCGCCGCTCTCCTGATCTGTGACAGGAGGCTAAGCGGTGTGGGAGGAGAGACACGGGTCACTCACAGTGCTCTACTCCCTTGCACTGCTTGGCCTCCTGTGACAGTTTCTCTCCTCCATGCTGGACGCTGTGTCAGCCGCCCAGCGAGGAGGAGAGAAAGCAGGGATTTTTCCAAAAGTGCCATTTTCGTCCGATACATTTCGGCTGCCAAAATTTCGGTGCATCCGTAATATATATATACATACATAGACACACATGCACATAACTATACTATAAATAAGTGAATTAAGGCTCACCTTATATTTTTCACATCTTGATAGCTGTGTCTGCTTTGAATGTGCTTTGAAAAGTAGTCCTGATAAATTAATACAACTTATATAACATTTACAGCATTGAAACTTTTACATCAATCTGTGTTCTATGATGTCCACTGTACTTAACTATATGTAAGTATTAGTTTTCTGTTTGTACAAAGTGTTTTCAAAAGCTACCTTACAATATATTCAGTTAGCTACACGAAGGCCCCATTCACACCAGGACGTATCATCCGTTTCCATTACTAGGTAATGAAACCCCAAATGGGGCCGAGCAAACGCGTTTTTGTCTGCATTGGAGAATGCGCATGAACGTGAGGGAAGAAAACGCAGACATGTCAACAAATTTGCAACATGTACTACTTTTCTGTGGTTGGTTGGATCAATGGGGACGTGCGCCAAACACGGGAAACAAAGTCCTGCAAGCATGCGGGAATGCACAGTCCACAGTTCCTTCTCTGCCCCGTTGTGAACGGGGCCAAGAGGTATACACTACATTTTTGCTTTCCTGCTACTACCCATGACTAACACAGTACATTCTAATATCTATCTATCTATCTATCTATCTATCTATCTATCTATCTATCTATCTATCTATCTATCTATCTATCTATCTATCTTACCATCTTACCATCTTACCATCTTACTATCTTACTATCTTACTATCTTACTATCTATCTAACTATCTTACTATCTTACTATCTATATATCCATCTAATATAGTTCTTTAAGGTATCCTAAGTCAGGGGCGGACTGACAACACATGGGGCCCCCGGGCAATACAAGATTAAAGGGCCCCCTTGTGCTCCGCCCATATACAAGCACCACCCACAAGCCCCACCTGCATAAACATTCTTGTGTCACAGAATTTTTTTCTCCACACTATTTTTCAATGAGTGGGCCAATTCACTAAAAGATGAATTCCCGGGGAACTGATGGGAGAATTTCAGAATCTAGACCAATATAGGCAATTTGGAAAATGAGCTAAATGGCAGAACGCATGGCAGACCTCAGACCAGAACCAATACACGGCAGACCTCAGACCAGAACCAATACATGGCAGACCTCAGACCAGAACCAATACACGGCAGATCTCAGACCAGAACCAATACACGGCACACTTCAGAGAGCGGCCTCCCGTCTTCTACGCTGTCAGCATAGCGAGGAAGCCGGCTGCGCATTTTGCATAGCTTCCGCTACGCTAATAGCGTATCTTCTCAGAAGCTGCACACAGCACGTGCCGGTTTAAGTAGTAACCAGCACACGCTGTATGCAGCTTCTGACAGCGTGGGATATGGGAAGCTGCGCTTGTTGGTGGATCCAGGGATCAGGTGAGTATTAAAAAATAATGTTTTATCTTATGTTCCCGGGGGACATTAAAAATGTCCCCGGATTTTATTTTAAAAAACTGGTCACCTTACCCTGGTGGTCAGTGGGGGCTCCCTGTGCCCTGGATGGTAGTGGGGGCTCTCCTGTGGCCACACCAGCCAGTTTTCCCGCAGCAGATGCCAGAGGGCCCGTCACCGACCCCCGTTAAATGAAGCCCCCGGCCACAGGTGCAGTGGCTTCCTCCCTCCGCCGCCTCTCTGCCACCTGCACCACTACAGATGCGGCTCTCCAATCAGGCGGCTGCTCGCTCCTCAAGGGGGGTCCCTGGGAGATCCATGCGGACGGCCCTCTAACATGCCTGATTAGAGGGCCGCGTCTGCCTGATCCAGCCAGCCCGGTTCGCCTTGGTATGCAATCCGGGCTGGCTAGATCAGTCAGACACGGCCCTCTAATCAGGCATGTTAGAGGGCCTCCCGCTGGGGCCTCCTGAGGACCCCCTTGAGGAGTGAGCAGTCACCCCACAGGCAGTGCCCGACTGTCCGAAGGGTCAGTCCGTCCCTGCTAATAGAGTATCTTTGCAGAAGCTGCATACCACACCCGTTGGTTTAAACAGTAACCGGCACGCTCTGTATGCAGCTTCTAAAAAAAAAAATGTCCCCGGATTTTATTTAAAAAAACTGGTCACCTTACCCTGGTGGTCAGTGGGGGCTCCCTGTGCCCTGGATGGTAGTGGGGGCTCTCCTGTGGCCGCACCAGCCAGTTTTCCCGCAGCAGATGCCAGAGGGCCCGTCACCGACCCCCGTTAAATGAAGCCCCCGGCCACAGGTGCAGTGGCTTCCTCCCTCCGCCGCCTCTCTGCCACCTGCACCACTACAGATGCGGCTCTCCAATCAGGCGGCTGCTCGCTCCTCAAGGGGGGTCCCTGGGAGATCCATGCGGACGGCCCTCTAACATGCCTGATTAGAGGGCCGCGTCTGCCTGATCCAGCCAGCCCGGTTCGCCTTGGTATGCAATCCGGGCTGGCTAGATCAGTCAGACACGGCCCTCTAATCAGGCATGTTAGAGGGCCTCCCGCTGGGGCCTCCTGAGGACCCCCTTGAGGAGTGAGCAGTCACCCCACAGGCAGTGCCCGACTGTCCGAAGGGTCAGTCCGTCCCTGCTAATAGAGTATCTTTGCAGAAGCTGCATACCACACCCGTTGGTTTAAACAGTAACCGGCACGCTCTGTATGCAGCTTCTAAAAAAAAAAAAAAAAGTTTTATTTTATGTTCCCGGGGACATTTAAAAGTGTTCCCAGATTTTATTTTAAAATAAAAAAAACGAAATTTGTTAAGCTTACCCTGGTGGTCATTGGGGGCTCCCTGGACCCTGGTTGTGAGGGCTCAGCTGCCAGTTCGCACTCATCAGTGGCTCCCTCCCCGGGGGCAGTGGCTCTCTCCGTCCACCTCCTCTCTGCCACCTGCAACCGGCCAGCCCACCCACATCAGATGCAACTCTCTAATCGAATTCGGCAGCATGCCTGATTAGAGGGCTGCGTCTGCCTGATCCAGTCAGCCCGGATCGCCACAAGGACCCCCTTGAGATGTGAGCGGCTGCCGAATCCGATTAGAGAGCCACGTCTGATGCAGGCGGCTGTTCAAGTGCAGGTGGCAGAGAGGTGGCGGAGGGAGCCACTGTACCCGGGAAGGACAAAGTACAACACAGAAACGGGGGTGGGTGACGGGAACCCTGATGGCCACGGGCCCTCGGGCAATGCATGACTGGTCAGTCCGCCCCTGTCTTAAGTATATAATTATAAGAAGAATGTGTATACAGCAACAAATTACCTGGCATGCTGTTTTTCTATACATTATTGATAACTAGTACGGCTTGAGGCCAGGTTCACATCATATTCCGGACCAGATCCGGAACTCGGTGCATTGCGTTTTGCCGCGTTTTTACCACGATGTTACAGCAATTTTGCCGCGATCCAGAACGCTATTTTTTTTAGCTTAAATTTGGCTTTCTGGTGCAGTCCAGTGAGTTTGCATGCATTTTTATGCATTTCCATGTGTTCAAGTGCATTCCAGACCAGAGAAAATGAGACAAGCAGTATTTTTTTTGTCTGGACTGGAACAGATTGCGCTGGTGTGAACAGAGCCCAGAAATAGGGATACATTGGGATGCTTTTGGTCCAGGAACAAACTGTTCTGGTCTGGACATGATTCAGACATGGTGTGAACAAGCCCTTAAGCCATTAAAGGAGAACTATGGGGTTAGGGCTTTTCCCCATAGTTCTCCGAAGGGTAGCGGGAGGACACAAACTAGCGTCCTCCCATTACCCAAAGCTCAGTATACCGCGAGCTGCAGCTCGTGTTATACTGAGACGCCGCAGCTAAAACGGATCCCGACAATTATGTCTGGACCCGCCCAGCTGCGTGACTGACAGCTGGCTCTGCCTATCTAGAGGCAGAGCCAGCTGTACCCGCACCCTCCCCTGTCCGTTCCGCCAGTCAGCGCTGGAGTATCGGGCAGGGGGGAATCCAGTCCCTCCCCTGTCACGGCTCTCTGCCGTAACAGGATCGAGAAGTGAGCGAACGCCGGTATGTGTTCGCTCACTTCCCGATCTACTGAGCTGACCTGTGAAAGTTTCATTGTCACAGGGCGGCTAGAACTATGAGGATGAGTGAAAAGCACTCACCTCATAGTTCTCCTTTAATGGAATATGTCAGGATGCAATGAGAGAGACATGGACATTGTAATTACTGATCTCCTTCCGATGATACAAGTTTCCTGGATATTACTTTGACTTACTTCAGTACTTTCTAAGCCTCTGACCTGGTACAAATATGCAGGTGAAAGAAGTCAGAGAAAAGTCAGAGGTCCTTATCTGCATGCATAGCAATTCATTAACAGCACACAAACTAATTCCTTCACTCACAGTAAAGCTTAGTAGGCCAGACTACAGTTCCATTTAACTAGCATGACATGGGACCGCGGTCCCCCGAAAATAGTGCAAGTGCGATAATCCGGCGGATTCCGCACGTTTACAGCTATGTAATAGCTGCAAATGAGCGGCATCCGCATGGATTGAAAAACATTAGCGTTTTCGTTCCACGCGGTTTACCGCACGGAAAACCGTGCGGGAACCTCAAAAGCTATGTGTGAATGCAGCCTTGAGGCTGTTCTCTTAGCAAAGTGAATATTTCCTTTTTAAAAGTGAATTGGATAGTCAAAGGGAACCCAGCTTCACCTTATTTACTAACGTTCACTTTACAAAGCAACCATTCACATACTACTCCTGTAATAACCCAAATATTTGCTTCTTTATAAAATGATTCAGAGACACTAAACTTACCAGATACGTACTGCTTGGCCATTGTGATGAAGATAGTGTGAGTTCAAAAATCTCTTCCCTAGTAATAAATAAAGAATATTTCCTTTCATTGTTTTGTTATATCAATCAACATTACAAGGTGTATTATAAATCCGTTATATTTTGTGTTTTGTTTAGTGGTGGGCAAGTGTAATAAGTATCAAATACACTGATATACAGTATTAAAAAAAAGTGGGTAAAATGTATACACATTGGCTCATTTATTAGGAGAAAGGAAAATGTGCTGTGCACAGTGATTTAGTGGTTAGCAACTTTTGCAGCACAGGGTTCCCTAGCTTAAATTCCAGTCAGGACAATATATGCAAGGAGTTTGCATCTTCTCCTTGTGCTTGTGTGCATAAATTATTGGTGCTATATAAATACATGTAATAAATACAAATCCATAGAAACTAGACAGAACCCATATCTCACTGTCCTAACTTTGAGGGCTGGTCCCAGGAATTTTATCCCACTGCTATAAACCATATCTATTTAGAATTTTGTAAACTTATTGAAGATGCCCATAGGATGTACTAGCTCAGTGCACTGACACTATTTCACTCTGCCCTGTGAATACGCACTTCCTTGTGTCACATCTCTCACAGAAAATACAAAAAAGGCCACAAGCACTCCAGCATGTAGAAAAGTCAATGTTTGTTGACTTTACATAGTAGTTACATAGTTACATAGTTACATAGTATTTGAGGTTGAATAAAGACATTAGTCCAAGTTACATAGTTAGTCAGGTTGAAAAAGTCCAACGAGTTCAACCTATAGAGCACAGGTGTCACATCATTGGCAAAACGTTTCGGAACAGCAAAAGTCCCTTTTTCTATCTGGTCAGGAGTGTGATGTGTATGTTTTTTGAACATCTCTCACAGAGCCTGCCTTCTGAACTACAATTCAACGTCTGAACAATGTAACATTATCATTGCTTGCTGGAAGCAATGCATGATGGGATGTAGTCTTGAGAAATCAAGATTGCATCACCTCAAGTAGCAGGGAAAGAGACACAAACACACTGGGAATCCAGGAAGTTGATGAAAGTAATGGGCAGACAGAAGGCAGCACTCACCACATAAAAGGGATTTTTTCAAGGCAGCTTTGACTACATTATGAAAAACAACTATAATATGTATTCCTATTACAATGCTGATGTTATAACAGGATAGTATATACTGGGACTTTACAGCTCCTTTAAACTCAGCAGGGGCTCTGACTTACACATAGACACCTAAAGAAGAAGTTGCAAACCTGTACATGAAATGACATTATGTGAATATCACTTGAAAAAATTCATCTAAACATTACTGTGATATCTGAACATGGGTACTTGCTGAAAAATACATTGACATTGTGTTTTACATAATCCTCAATGTTTACAAAAAATATATAGGTATGGAAGCTTTGTTGATACTCACTGACACTGAAGAGGACAGTGACATTTCAGCTGATCGTGGGATAGTTTATATTCATACATTTCCACACAGTGATCTGAGAAGGGAAAGCAGAAGCACAGGTTGCTGAAGGGCACTCAGAGTGAGTCTATAGATCCCCGGAATGTATACTTACTGACAGATGGTTCACTGATATTACACAGAGGTACATCACTCCCAGGGGGTTCGGGGAACTCCCACATTCTGCACCCACAGTTTATGATCATTTTAGTCTGAGCGCAGCTCTTCTTGCAGGCCTGAAGAGAAATATACATTTACATGTACAGTATATATTTTAATGTAGTATGTAGTTTATAGATGCAAACAAAGATAGGGTTCGACTAGAATTTATGACTTCCTTCCGCTCCACACATGGCTGCATCCATGCTCTAATGCAATGTTCAATCAATGTCAGACTAATATTAAATAATAAAAGTCTTCATAACAACTTCAAGCTAGTTCTGTAATCCCCACTAATCTACAATAAGGTTTTTCAACACTTGATAACAAAACACATCCTAGATATACAGCAGACAGTGATATAACGGCATTGACTTTCGCCAGCCTCAGCTACTGAGTATCAAGAATTGTGTGAGAAGGACTTGGGAATTTTATAGATACATACACTGAGTGGCCAGATTATTATGACCACCCCATCAGTACTGCACTGTTGCCCTTCTGTTGTCTTGTACCAGTCTTGCCACTCTCCGTTCTGCCCTAACATTGACTAGTAGCTGACGGCCACAATTCGCACGTTCAGACCCAGATTTTTGGCTGACAGTCCATTATTTAAACACTTTTAACAATAGCTGCTCTTGAACATTTAACGAATTCTGCTGTTTTGCTGATACTCGCTCCATGGCTCCGAGCGCCAAAAACCATCCCACGTTCAAAGGCTGTTAAATCGCATTGTTTACCCATATCTTCAGAAACAAATCACTTCTACTGTCGTGGTAAACAACCTGCTTCCCTATTTATAATGGTCTGGTCCTCTAGCAACTTCAGCGCGAAATTATAGCTACTTATAGCTAATTTGCCTACAAACGTCAGGTGGTCATAATAATCTGGCCACTCAGTGTATGTTCCCCCTATACTGGGCCCAAGGAGAGCCAAGATTATACCACGGACCTCTCTGCATTACACTCCTCGGTTCTTAGGTTTCTACACTAGTGATAGGTGGTGGTTCCCTGAATAACATATGAAATGTTAAATTGTCAAATAAGAACACAATACATAAACAGGGAGAACCAAGTGATATTCAGACAGTTGTATAACCAACCGAAAGTTCCAGGGCTCGGCAGAAAGTTAAGCGGCAGAACTTAGAAGACAAGTCAGGGTAATAACCAGAGAACAGTCACTGCTCTCTGCAGGGAGAAGATCGTGAGCTAAGCGATCAGCGGTTTTGATCGCTTAGTTCTCCATCTATAGAGCCAACCTGTGACAGCTGCAGTGTCACACGTTGGCTCTAACTATGGGGATGAGTGCATTTAATTTAATAGCTTAGAGGCGATCTATATGATATATTTAAATATACTCAGGTCAGTGTAAAGATTTCCAAAGAAGCTAATTTGTTACCTCATTTGGTTGTAGTAGACCAAAATGGGGGTCTATTCTCACCTATTTATAGACCTTCACAGACACATTTGAATTACGTCAGCTATTCAAATACCTTGAACCAGACCTATGGAGAATGGCAACTTCTTTTTTTTTTTTTTTAGATATAATACTCTTTGGCTGCGTAGATATTCTGTACCATCTACCTATAGTTATGGGCTTATACTTAATTTCCTATCCACAGTTTCTGGATTTGCAACATGGCATTTTGGCTTCGTTAACTGCCTCTTCCACGGCCCCCCAGTGGAGCCATTCCCCATTGGTCTGGTCCAAGGTATTTGAATAGCTGACATAAACCCTGTAAGATTTTGTTCTTATTTCTTTTGGGTAACACATGAATTGTAATTTTTCACATGTGATGACAACAATTGTTATATGTGTATTTATATGATTTTTACTCTTAGTACAGCGAATATTGTCAAATCCTCCTAAGGAAGCCTATTATGGGCAAAACATGTTGAAAAAAATGCAATCAGCTGTTGGGCCTTGAAAACCTATAATGCAAATGAACTGTTTGATCAACTAATAGAAATTGTTTGTTTTTATATTCCCTTTTTAATGCATTTATATAAATAAAGGTCTAAAAATACAAACCAGAGCGCATACACTTTACCATTGTAATGTTAATGTGTTGTAAAGGAAGAAGGGACTTACGAGGTGTTGGTGAGGAGTGTATGCGCTCTGGTTTGTATTCTTAGAATTTTGTCGTGCAGGTACTTTCTGCCTGGTGTCTTTGAGCTGCTCACATATCATTGCCCACCAGAGTCCATCTAATACACCCCCACCCTCTCAAGAGCGCTGAATTTACTTTTTTGTTATATAAATAAAGGTGAAGGTCTATAATAGGCGAGAATAGCCACCCCCTTCCTTTTGGTCTGCTTCAACCAAATATGGTAAAAAATTAGCTTATTTGGATGTATTTAATATAGGATGTGCCACATAGACCTTCACCTAGTGTGCGCCAATTCTTAGTGAACTCAGTGTAAAGATTTAAAAAAACTAATTTAACTCCCAGGACTATACAAATGAGATTGCTTATAAGGAGCATATGGAGAATAGACAATTTTACCAAGTTTTAAGTTTAGAAAGTGTTTTTATTTTTTATGGTGAGAGTGTTAAAATTCTGCAGCACGTTGCTGCATGAAATAATAAATGTATCCACAGCAATCATTTCTAAAACCTAATACCTTTACAAACCCATATATTATCTTGTTAAATTAGTTGTAACATCCTCACAGCGCTGCACTTAGCCTGTGCAGAGCTGTGGGAGGGACCCTGAAGCCCCACCCACTAGAGTTATTCTACAGAAAACTACAGAAATGGGGCGGATACAAGACCAGTCACCCTGCACAAAGAGAGAGAGCAGCAGTAACTGTTCCTTATTACAGGAAGATCCTGCGCAGAGGCAAAGCTTCACACTGGGGAAAATACACAAATCACACCATGACTCAAGTTAAGCTGGCCACGCTGGTAGATTTTAGGTCAAATGTTCATACTAAAAATCCCATTAGAACATTCGATAATGCCATCAGAGACTTGGTAAATGTTGTTCAAAATTTTGTTTTGTTGGATTTTGGAATGAATGGTGTTTCTAGAGCATAAAGCACATTCACTATTAGAATATCATTCTTTTCTGGGGACATTTTTTAATCACTGCAGTTGAAAACGTTTGTCAATTTGAACCCATTTACTATTAGAAAACGAAAGGGAATTTGTTCTGAACGTAATCCTACTGGTGTATGGCCAGCTTAAGAATACAGTTACTTCTTGTATTTAGACAACATTTGCTTTAACTATTACTTATTGCAATGTGTGTTCACATGGAAGAGCTGAGCAGTGATATAATCTTATAATTAAGATTGGAATGTTATTGTCTGTATCATTTCTCTGTCACCTCACAGTGTGCCAACCAGCCATAGCTGCTTCTATATTCCGTTTCATTTTTAGTATTATAATAAACAAAACAAAGACACAAAAATATCAGGAATGTGGCCACCATTTTTAATTCCAGTTTCTATTTATTTAGCTAGTTACTATGAAGAGGGACTCTTACCTTGCACATGCAAGGCAAAGTGACAGAATCTGAACCCCCTTATATTAACTTTATGTGTGCTCCTCCACAGTTCCTGGCTCCTCTATAGCTGGCAGGAATACCCAGCACTTCTTGGGTATTTTTTTTTTGGGGGGGTGATGTTCAGTCCTAGCAGTTAATTGCTAGACCTTAGCACTAGGGATGCACCGATATATCGGCCGCCGAAACATATCGGCCGAAAATTGCACTTTTGGCATAATGCCGAAAGAGCCATGTTTCGGCCGATACATCGGGTCATCCCTGGTTTCTTTTCTCCCCGCTGGGCGCTGTTCCAGCGGGGAGAAAAGAAAGTGACAGCCGCCGAGCGCTGCAGGAGTCAGGACGAGAGCGCTGTGAGCTGCGGCATCTCTCCTCCCACACAGGTCAGACGCCTATCACAGTCCGGCAGAGCGGTGTGTGGGCGGAGACATCGCTGTCACAGGAGGCTGGGCTTTCCTCTCTACACGGCTCGATCAGCCTCCTGTGACAGCGTGTCAGAGACAAAAGCAAGATACACACACTCAGTGATCAGTGATCGCTGAGTGTGTGTACATAATTGAGGATATGGCATGTTAACTATATCCTCAATTATGAATGAATGGGAGTGATCTACATCACCCCCATTCATTCATAATTGTAGTTATAGTAAACAAACCATGTACTCATGTTATCAATGAACAGGAACACTCATAGAGGATTCCTGTTCATTGATAACAGGGGACACAGAAAAAGAGATTGAGGACTCTGTGTTCTCAATCTCTTTTTCTATTTTAAAAGGGAAATATCAGGGGTCTGTTTAGACCCCTAATATTTCCCCGAAGCCCCTAAAAGTAAAGTAAAAAATAAAAATTTTTAATAAAAAATGAATTAATAAATAAAAATAAATATAAAAAATGTTAAAAGTTTATAAAAATAAAAATATTTTAAAAAATTGAAAAAATAAAAATAAAAAACATTTTCGGTTTCGGTTTTAAAAATTCAATTTCGGTGCACCTCTACTTAGCACTATTACATGAGTGGAAGAACAATGTCACTGGTCCTCCAGGTTGATGACAAAGTCCATCTCATCACGGCTGTGGTGAGGCAAGGAACTGCAGGGGAGTGCAGATAAGGTAAGTATACGAGTATGAGGGGATGCCCTTTGTAGAGACACTGTCACTTTGTTTTGCATGGTCAGGGTGACAGTGTTTCTTTAATGGTAGATCACAAATTGGTACAATAGATGCAGTAGGACTCATTAGTACATAATAATATAACTTTTTATTTAATAATAAGAAGCTGAATTATTATATATAAAGCCCATAGGTATTCTGGTGCTCCCAGTTCTCCTCAATATGCACATCATGTTCCTTAGGGCCTAGGTTAACGTGCTTTGGGCTTGTGTTGATGGCATTTGTTTGACCTCAGTGTAAGGTGCTTCTAAGATCATTCAGTAGCATGCATTTGATCTGCAGGTGACCTCCTTCTGACCTGCATTTGACCTCTTTTAAGCCAATTTTGCATTCCCACTGACTTGTATACGATTGCAAAACCAGCATGAAGTGAACAAAAGTCTGTTGACAGAGTCCCTTAGACAGAACATAGAATACATAGTATATAAAGAAATATGCAGTGTAACTCAGTAAGGCAGTGCAAACTTGATCCTATGAGTAAGGCTGTAGTTGAAACGTGTTAGCAGTCTTGTTACTATCGGATGCTGCTGAATTTTAATCTGTAAAGGTGAATGAGGATTGTTGTTCTTCAGAGTATATGATTATTTGGTTGGATCTGAAGGGCAGGCAGAAGCCCAGCTGTCAAACCACCACTCCACAGGCCACATTGGCGAGGAGGTAGAGCACTTTTTAATTGTTTCAAGTAGTTCAAAACAACTAATTGAGCTACTCAAATGTGTATCAAAGCAACTCATAAGAACCTAAAAGCATGCTTCATTTGTGTTGCTTCTGATTGGTGCCTGAGCCCCTTAGGTTGCAGAGAAAGCTTAGGAGGTGGTATGATCTTGTTCTTCTTGGCTCCTGGGCTGCACAGGTAATAGATCTGTCACTGGATAAATTCAAGGTTTTTCAGTGTGGCAGTGACAATGAGTACACCATAAACACCCATAGCAATCAATCAGGAATCAGTGAATGATAAACTGAAATTTAATGGATGACATTAGCTCATTGCACGTAAGAATGAATCACACAAAGTAAATGCATATTTTTATGCATCCTGACAAGGCTAGACCTTACAATATGATCTATTCTATTATGTGCACAAAGCTCTTCCACTGAGCTTTTCTCTACTTTCTGATCATAATCATAATGGGTTATAGTCATTCCATTCTGCTAAAGGATGTGCTTAACTATTGGGTGAATGTAATCAGATAAGTAGAGAGCAGCTCAGAAAGCAGATTGTATGGAATGTTGAAGACTTTGGATAAAGTAATTCTATGTATTTCCATGATTTTCACAGTATAAGGCTTACCTCTATGCTGTAGTCAGTTCCATAAACATCAGAATAATAATTCCTTATGTCCTGGCCACTGCTACAACGACTGCTGTACGGTTCTTGCAAACGTTTGACATGGACCTGTCACAAAGAGCTTCTTTTATTTTTTGTTACAGAAAGGTTCCAGTCTTACTGGGATGGAAAAAAAAAAGACTAAAAAATGGTTAATTTAACTATTAGTTTTCATTTCATAATTATGTGTAATAATTATGCTGTAAAACTTCCCCAATTATGCTTTAAAACTTCCCCAATATGCTGGAAAATTGACATGACCCATTTTATAGACATTGTTGTTGTAAGATTCTCATCGCTGATTTTCCCACACACACATCTCATATCAAGGGTTGTGAGTATACTGCACTGGAACTCCTTAAGCACATATGGTTTATGTGTACCAGTGCAACATTGAAGATATAAATAAACACATACATACAATAATGCAAAAGTTATTTGTAAACTGCGTTATGTCTAATAACCTTTATAACTAGATGTTTCTGGCAATTATTCACTGTCTCCTACAGGGGCAAAGAGACTGGGCCTCAATTGTCAATGGACCTTTATACCTGGAGACAGGGGTGTCCTAGACTATTACCCATCTGAGGCCAGGAAGGGGGGATAAGGGGTGCTGCTTGTGCATATGACAGGGGTGGGGGTGGTTGTTTGCTATTGGTGCACATAATGGGGCGTTGCTAGTGGTGCACTTTTTTCGTAGGGGGGTGGTGTGGCGTCCGGCCTACCGTCCAGGTCAATTATGTCACTGGTTACCACGTGCTGGGCGGAATGCCGGCCAGAGCATCCCAGGTTGCTAAGAGCTCTTAGGAACCTGGGAAGCTCTGGCCGGAAAGGGGGTGGCCCAATTACCCAATGAGATGCCACCTGAGGCAACCTGCTCAGGCTCCCTCATTATAATAATGGCCCTACCCGGGGACCTGTGGGGCCCAACCTTCCATTTTCTCAAAACACCACCAGAAGTGGAGGCATTAACATGCAGCATATTGGATTTGTCTGTCAGTTTAATAAATGGGATAATGCTGTTTCCAGTGCCAGAAAGTACCTATGATTGTGTTATGCATCCTCCTTCTGCACCTTTTTTGGTTTGTGTTGATAGGGACCATTTTTGATGTAGCCTGATGCTGCTTTTTCCTCCATCTTTCTACTGTACAAGGACTGCGGAGGCTGTTACCAAGTCAGATTCAGGCTTACACTGCTTGCAGTTAAAACAATGCATTTTTGGCTGTACTAAGGATTACAGAGCTGCATCAATTTGTGTCTTATCTGCCTGGAGTTTAGCTTTAAACCTTGTTAGCACAATCAGCTCTTGAACATCCTTTGCCTTGGATTTGTTTAGAAGGAGAACCTTCATACCTTCACTACTCCAATGTCTGACTCCTGTCCAGGAGGAACATTGACTCCCTCATCTTCAGGGAATGGCATCTTCCCTTGTCCATGCAGAAGTACTCTCAGACCTGCTGCTGTGCTCAGAGTACTGATATACTCATTCTGCTCAATGAAAAGCTCCATAGTCAGACCTGCCAGTGACATAAGAATGTGCATATTATTGAATTAGCAGAATAAATGTTTAGTTACTGATATATTCACAAAGGTAGTCGTACAGAGCTTCTAACCTAAATTAACAGCAATATACTGTAGCATTGTCCTCAATGTCTATAAACAGGGACTCTGTTTAGGGTATAGGTAGCCATTAAAGTAGATGTAAACCCAATATGAATGACTTTAAAGCACAATCAAATACTTGTTTCCTCCTTTTTTTAAATTCTTTATTGTATATCAGCTCTGCAGTCCCATTGCAGCCACCGTCTACCTACATACATGCACTCCAGCAACTGCTGCATGTAATTTCTTATTTATTTAATGGGGGAATTCCTGATGGTGATAACAGTGGACCAAGCCTGTGCTAGGCGTGTAAGAGGGGCCATTTGTAGCCTTTATTAGGAGACAATGCCATGTGCCAATGCAGGAAAACAATTGGGAGACGGGCACAGATCAGTGATCGCTTTCAAAAGTAGCACTTGTACAACGACCTTTGTAAAGGGATCTCCAGGTAATATTTTAATGAAAGCTGCACATTTAAAGTGTATGTCGAGGCAAAATAAAATAAACAAACACACATATATGCAGATTTAAAAGGATTTAAAAAAAAATAACAGTAACATTTTAAAACTTTTAGTGATTGAGTTTACATATACTTTAATTAGACATAACTGCAAAACTGTCACAAAATGCAATTTTGCACTCTCTCTCCCTATATATATATATTGTATGCCCCACAGGGCCCTGTTCTCAACATCATCAAGTCTGCCTGGTATTACATGAAGAGACAGAAGAATTTGAGGCAGCCTACATCCACAGACTGTATGTGGTTAGTTCTCCAAGAGGTTTGGAACAACCTACCTCCTGAGTTCCTTCAAAAAGTGTACCTATAAGAAATTATGCTGTTTTGAAGGCAAAGGGTGGTCACACCAAATATTGATTTGATTTTAATTTTTCTTCTGTTCATTTACTTTCCATTTTGTAAATTGATAAAAAATAAACTATTACCCAGATAGAAAGCAATTGAGCTGCAAGTTTGAAAATGACTTGCTAAACTATTGCAGACTTGCCAAGCTTCACAATTTTGTTGCACAATTACAGCTAGTCTGCATTGCAAGTCTCCCGACCAGCAAGCTTGCAGAGCTTTTGCTAAGACCTGCAGAACTCTTGCTGTAGACTTGCCAAGCAAATTTGCTACAAATTCAAAAAGTGTCAACTAGAACTTGTGCTGCAAGTGTTCCGCAAGTCTACAACTTGCCAGGAATGTGTGCAGCAAGTTAACAAGAATTACAATTTAACCCTGACACAAGTTTGTGGCAAGTTATCCTTGCTATCTGGGTAACACTCTTACAAACTCGTTGTTGTGTTCCTCAAACTATTCTTGAAGCGTTTTTGCAGCGAATGGCAGGACCCAAGGTTTTCCAGCAGAACATTGCTGAAAGAATCACACTGCCTACACTGGCTTGCCTTCTTCCCATGGTGCATCCTGGTGCCATCGCTTCCCCTGCTAAGAGACACGCACCCGGCCATCCACATGATGTAAAAGAAAATGTGATTCATCAGACCAGTCCACCTTCTTCCATTGCTTCGTGGTCCAGTTCTGATGCTTACATGCCCACTGTAGGCACTTTTGCCAGTGGACAGCATGGGCACCCTGGCCGGTCTGCAGCAATGCAGCCTCATACACAACAAACTGCAATGCATTGTGTGTTCAACAAGTGAAACAAATGGCAAACACACTCATCAATTCATAACTAGCTTTAGAGCAAGGTGCACATTGTGTTCAGACACCTTTTTATCGGAACCAGCATTAACTTTTTCAGCAATATGAGCTACAGTAATTCTTCTATTGGTCTACACGATCCAGATTTCACTCCCAACATGCATCAATGATCCTTGGCCACCCAGGACCCTGTTGCCAGTTCACTGGTTTTCCTTCCTTGGACCACTTTTGGTAGGTGCTAACCAGGGCCGTCTTTAATATTGATTGGACCCCGGGCAAACATTTGCTTGGGCCCCCCACCACGCCCCTCATGCAATATTGCCCGCTATATGCTGACAGAGCAGAGCCACGCTGCAGCTGGGATGGATCCAAAAAATATTGTCCAGATCCACCCCACCGCCTGATTGACAGCTGACTCTACCTCTCTAGAGATCGTGTCCGCCCCATCCATCCCTCCAGTCAGCGTTGGGGAGGGGGGGGGATTCCTGCAAGGAGCCGTGACTGACAGTCACCGCTCTTTGCAGAGAGACTGAGTGCGGGAACTGCGTGATCAGCGGTATGTGATCGCTCAGTTCTCGATCAAGAGAGCCAACCTGTGGCAGCTTCAGTAACTAGGGGGAAGAGCGCATTTCACTCTCCCCATAACTCTACTTTTATGGTAAATGTGTAGATAATTCGCCACCTACCACTTCCACTGCATAGAATAGCAACAATCATAATAATGACACCTGAGCATGCCCCCCCCCGTGTCATTATTATTATGTCCCCTGGTGTCATTATCCCTGGACATAACAATAATGACACCAGGGGATGGACATAATCATAATGACACCAGGGGATGGACATAACAATAATGACACCAGGGGATGGACATAACAATAATGACACCAGGGGATGGACAGAACAATAATGACACCAGCGGATGGACAGAACAATAATGACACCAGGGGATGGACATAACAATAATAACAACGAGGATGGACAGAACAATAATGACACTGGGGACGGACATAACCATAATGACACCAGGGGATGGACATAACAATAATAACAATGGCATCATAATAATAATGACACCAGGGGGACATGCTCAGGTGTCATTATTATTTTTATACAGCATTACATCATAGCCCAGCAGTGCCACACCTAACCCGACCACCCCCCCATCCCCCTTCTCCCCCACACGCAGATAGAAGCCCAACCTAGCAGTCATGTGCACTCACCGTGGACAGTGGGAGGATGAGACTGTAGCCATGGAGGGAGGAGTGCAGGACCATGCAGCCGGGTGTGCAAAATCGATCTTCCTCCTCGGCTGAGTGGGAGGTGACATCCCGGGCTGCAGAGATCTTTGCTGCACATAGGGAGTGGGACAGGAGGCTGCTGCCCTCTAGCGTCAGAAAGCGGTAGTGCACACTAGACGGCTGGTACAGAAACGTTTCAAACTTTCACCAGCTCTAGTTTATGGGGTGCAGGGCCCCACAACAATGATTGGGCCCCGGGCAAGTGCCCCTTTTGCCCTGCCTTAAAGACGGCCCTGGTGCAACCAACAGAGTGAGCAACTGACTAAATCAATGGTGGACCGCGGTGCAGATAACCATAACTGAAGCCGGCTTTGGTGGCATTTAACACCTCGGTTGGCTGAATCATTGTTTCCAGATTTTTTGGTCCATTGAAGGTGTAACAGTTCCCAAGCTTTGGATTCAAGAAAGGGGTGAAATAGCTAAAACACAAGAGGATATATATATATATATATAATGCATTTAAAATGTTCACATTCAAACATTTATATATTTCAGTGTTCTACTGAAGAGGTTTCACAGTTTAAAAGGCAATTTCTTATTTGCTTTGGATCTCTTCTGGTAGTAATAGAAAGATCGCACTTCCACATTTCCTACTACGTTTGGTGCTTCAAAGTCTGACCATTTGCGTACAATGGCTTATGAGGAGAAACATTAACAGGGCTATGCACAAAAGGGTGAAGTGTTTGGAGAAGGCAGGAGAATGAACAATCTAGGACAACATAGCTGAACTGGAAACATTCTCCAATTCAGCTCACTTTCTAGTTCAGCTATGTTGTCCTAGATTGTTCACTTCTCCTGCCTTCTCCAAACTCTTCACCCTTTTGTGAATAATCCTTTATATTTATAGCAGTTCTATAACACCAGATTCCACTTTCAGGTAGTATGAAACGTAACTATTTAAATTGTAGTGGTTGGTTGTGGTGAATCTTTAGGAGACCATGCAGCAAAATAGATAAAGCATATACACATAAAATGTCTAAACCACTGTAATACATTTCCATGTATTTCATGCCTAAACCATGTGTGCAATGACTTATTACACAACAATTAAAATGTCTCCCTAACCCTTCAGTAACTTTACAATTGTGCCTTAAGAAATATTACAATATATAGCAAATAGCAGCTCGAGAACACCAGTTAAGAAACTTTGCCTAGGCTGAGATGATGTCATCAGTCGGCCTCAAAAGGTGAGAGGCAGCGGCAGGGACTGATTTGTGTTAGAAATTTGTAAACTGCATAGGCACCAGCATTTACATGACCGTGGCATATCTGAGTTAGCATCTCAGTCCAGGGAGTAGATGCTGATCCTGGGTGATGTCTAAACAAAGGTAGTGTCGTCCTTCTGAAAAGTAAAGAAGATGAAAGCATTGTCAGGAGAGTACTGTGATCTCTTTTAGAGGTAATTCATGCCTGTAAGTGTTCTTCATGTATGCACTTGGCTTGAAAAAGATATTTGATACTAGGTCCTCTTTAAAAATGCAGATTTACAGTAATAGCATTTCACACTATACCATTCATTATAATTATTATTCATTTAAAATTAATAATCTACTGGTACTGCTGCCAGACTATGGAACGCCAAGAAGCCATGGCATATAAAATTTATCAAAGCAAAACATTTATGAGATAATATTACACTGCTGACTCAAATGACCTTTCCCAGTATAACATCAAAAAGCTCTATAGCAGTGTTAAGAGATGGCAATGAAAGACAATTTCTGTGATTTAGCACTAGGCTTATTTGCCTGCTCCTACTTGTGTTATATTGAAAACTAGCTTGGGGTTTCACAGACTTGAATTAGGTTTTTATTGAATTCTGTAGAATGTTTTGGGAGTTCAAGAGACCAATAGGGTTATTCACAAAGCTAGCCGAAGGATCAGCCGTAGTTCCGAAGGGCTGCTGTACGGTCTATTCGCTATAGCCCATACAGTTCCCAAAGCTGGCCGAGCGGCTCAGCCGAGCCGAGGGCATATGCTTCGGCTCGACTGAGCCGAAATGAAACCCAAAGCGGGCTGATCGGCCGAAAGTCTCGCAACTGACAGCTGGGCGGATCTCAGGTTGCTGGGGACGCTGAACTGTCATTAACCTCCTTGGCGGTATTCCCGAGTGTAGCTCGAGGTTACTTCTCCATACCCTGAGCTACACTCGGGAATATCCCACAGTATTTACTTACCTTGTCCCTCGAGCCGTGCGGTGTCCTCCGGCCGGCGCCGGCATCTGTCTTCCGGGTTCCGTCCCTTGCGAGCTGACGCGTGGCATGGGGGCGGAACCGGCGGGAAATTCGAAAAAAACCCCGGAAGAAACGACAAAATAAAATAACGAAAAAAATCCGGAAAAAAAATTGCGCCGAAAAAATAACGAAAAGCGAAATAATCATACCGCCAGGGAGGTTAAACCAATGATATACCAGGCTGGTGCAATGATCTTTGACATTCTTCGTCATCAGTACGGAGTTAATTGAACTAGAACAAGCATGCAGCAAATTCAAGTGTATGTCAGGGCCAAAAAAACATATTCAGTACATCTCTGCAATACATGCACATTTCCATGTATTTTATCTCCTTTAAAACCTCTACAAATATATAAAAATACTTGTTGATCTGCTAGATATCCAGCATGCTCCTAACCTTTTGTTTGGATTGACAACATGCTGGCTTTGATGCACTGAAATGCCCACCAGCAATGTCAGCCTTGGCTGTTTGACTAAAAAACTCAGCTATCCTCCACCCCTATGTATACCAAGCCACATGTATATATTTATTAATTTATTTATTTATTTCTTAGCAAAACATTGCTGCTGCCTTGACTCCCAAGAGCCTGCAAACACATTGTGCATAGGGCAAGGGCTTTTGAGAGATCTAGTTCTTGGGCCTTCATCATAGAGAAACTAAGTATCCAACAGTTTCCCCTGCAAGAATCTTACAAGACTTATGACAATGTCACAGGGAGTAATACGAGCTGTTTCCCACCAAAGGAACAATGTAAATGAAAAACATAATGCTTGGACATGCTTTAATGAAAGAGAAGGAGGTTGGAGAGTAAATTTGGGTCATGCCCGTACATACCCTTTAAGTCAGAATACCTGTTCTGGATCAGTGATTTGGAAAATAGTGAAGGAACTGGATGAGCATAACAACCTGGTAACCATCAATGCAGTAGTTCACCCTCCCTCCTCATTAGCTGTTTTAAGTCAACTCCATTTTAAGTTCCAATTAGAGACACACAGCCTCTGCTGTGCTCTATGTTAAACAAAACCCCCATAATGTCCTGGGAGTTAGGAATCCTCATGGGCCTCCTACATGAATGTTTAGTTGGAAAACAAAGAATATATATATATATAGGAAACAGTGTGTGTGTGTGTGTATGTGTATCTCTCTCTCTCTCTCTCTCTCTATATATATATACATATAGAGAGAGAGAGAGAGAGAGAGAGAGAGAGAGACCAGGGCTCTGTGGGGTCTCACCAGGGCTTTGAGGGGGCCTCACCAGGGTAGCAGGACTCTAGCGGGCCTCGGTGGCCTTTTGGGAAATTCGGGCCTGTGCGCAGAAGTCACCAACTGTCTGCAGAGTCAATAGCTACAGACCTCCAAACTTTGTGTGGCCTTCAGATTGGCACAACAACAGTGCGTAGAGAGCTTCATGGAATAGGTTTCCATGGCCGAGCAGCTGCATCCAAGCCTTACATCACCGAGTGCAGTGCAAAGCGTGGGATGCAGTGGTGTAAAGCACGCCACCACTGGACTCTAGAGAAGTGGAGATGTGTTCTCTGGAGTGATGAATCATGCTTCTCTGTCTGGCAATCCGATGGGCATGTCTGGGTTTGGCGGTTGCCAGGAGAACAGTACTTGGCTGACTGGATTGTGCCAAGTGTAAAGTTTGGTGGAGGGGGGATTATGGTGTGGGGTTGTTTTTCAGGGGTTGGGCTTGGCCCCTTACTTTCAGTAAAAGGAACTCTTAAGGCGCCAGCATACCAAGACATTTTGGACAATTTCATGCTCCCAACTGTGTGGGAACAGTTTGCGGGAAACCCCTTCCTGTTCCAACATGACTGCGCATTAGTGCACAAAGCAAGGTCCATAAAAACATGGATGAGCGAGTTTGGGGTGGAGGAACTTGACTGGCCTGCACAGAGTCCTGACCTCAACCCGATAGAACACCTTTGGGATGAATTAGAGCGGAGACTGCGAGCCAGGCCTTCTCGTCAAACATCAGTACAGGCCCTCGCAAATGCGCTTCTGGAAGAATGGTCAAACATTCCCATAGACACTCCTAAACCTTGTGGACGCCTTCCCAGAAGAGTTGAAGCTGTTATAGCGGCAAAGGGTGGGCCAACTCAATAGTGAACCCTACGGACGAAGACTGGGATGTCATTGAAGTTCATGTGCATGTAAAGGCAGGCGTCCCAATACTTTTGGTAATATAGTGTATATATTGTATATATACATTTATTCTAACTAGAACTAGTTTAAATACCCAAACATGACTTTATATTATCCTCATGTGATCCTGTCATTATTGCTCTTCTGCTTCTTCATTAGCCAGTATTATGCTTGGGTGAGTCATGGAACAGGCTGTGTTTTCATAAATGCGGCCCGCAGGGACGTACACAACTTGGCTGTACTGTCTGGCATGAGTGCCAGGATCACAGGATTGCCTGAATATAGGTAAAACAGGTAAACTAATATACATATATGTATTTCAAACGTGTCCTATATTTTCTTCAACGTATATGTTGTATATAGTATGTACATAGTTTTGGATAGAGTAGAGAAGGGTTATTTGTTGCTCTCTGCATTCCACTAGGAAGATTTCCCTCTGCTCCCTGTCCTTAAGAAGCAAAGGCAGACATCCCAACTCTCCCGGACGCTATTAGATAGCGGCTCCCGGCTGCCCGGGAGAGAAACATTTTCTCTCGGAAAGGTTTACTCTGCTCTACCTAGCAGAGTAAACCTTTCCCTGCGGCCTGTTTTTTTCTTATGACATCGGGGCCACCTGCCTCCGCCATGTCAGAGAGAAAAAAAAACAGCATAGGAATGCATAGCTACATTGCTACTGGCTATTTCACTTTGCAATAGCCAATAGCAGACAAGCTATTTCACCCGCCCACTGCTGCTGTCAATCAGCAGAGGTGGACCTGAAGTTCTCCATCAGGTCCTCTTCTAGTGACTGACAGCAGCAGAGGGCGGGTGAAATAGCCAGCTTGCTATTGGATTTTACAAATTGAAATAGCCAATAGCAATCTAGCTATTTATTCCTATGCTGTTTTTTTTATTCTGATGGCAGCAACTGTCAGAATACTAAAAACAAACAAACCAGCAGATAGCAAAGAAGCTATTGCTTCCCGTGCTATCTGCCATCATTTCAGGTGGGGTACTCCCCCTGCTAATGGGGGCAGAGGGCACCTCCCTGAAATGAGAAGGGCACCTCCCTGAAATTGCTTTTTTTCAGGTCGGGATCCCTGCAAAGGGAACTAAGAGAAAATATTCCCAGAGGTGAGAATTTCTATCTTAGACATGTACATTTGCCCCTATTAGATGATTTAATCTCACTCCTTGCTAGGATGACAATTCTAAAATATGAATCTTCCCCTAATTTTCTGCCTCAGTGACTATGGTCAGACAGCAATAAAAATTTGACAGAGTGTCTAACCATTCCCCACTCTGTCCAAATTGAGGGTTTTCCTTTACATATGCTTTAAAGTGTAACTAAACCCAAAAACAAAATGTAATATATTGCAGCTTATCAATCCTTAGCTATGGTGGCTGCATTTATTTTCTTTTTAAGTCTTTTTTTCCCCTTTATTTCCCCCTGGTGATCCGGCCAGTAACACACTTCTTATCTCACGGTGGCTCCACTCTATGGAGGAGCAGCGGAGCGACCCTTGGGCAGCTGCATTTTCACCATGTGGAGAGGGTATTGTTAGATTCACTAGCAGATGTAGATGGACTTGGCTAACAAATTAAAGCCGAACTCCAGCTAACACATTTTAACCAGTTACCCAAACAGATTTTCTTGTTTTTCTTTTGTGATAAATGGATAAAATCTAACAATTGTATACTCCCTTGTCAGTATCAAATGGTTTGTCTCAACCCTCTCGCTTTCACTTTTGCTGGAAAGCTTGGTCTGTTAAAGGAAGTTAAAAAATAACAGACTGGCTGGATCACCAGGTGAAAATAAAGGAAAAAAGTATTTTAAAAAAAGAAAATGAATGCAGCCACCACAGGAGGATTGGTAAACTGCAATATATTAATATTTTCAGTTTGGGTTTAGCTTTTAACTTTAACTTAGATTCATAGTCTATTCTATGTTAGCTTCTATTTTATTACAGAAAGTTAGAAGAATGTTGGAAAATATGAAACATAATCTCTGCTGTCTCTGCAATCCTAAACCATGACATTTTTACCATAATTGTCATCAATAATCCTTTCACATGCAACAAAAGTGTAATGTATACAGTAATTAGGGAGCCTTTAATAATTCATATACAATGGTATCTCTCAGTATCCAGTATAGGCTTCACTGACCTTTCATTACAAACCTCATCATGAAAAACGCAGGAAATCAGCATGTCCTTTATCTGGTGTCCCAGTTCCATCTGATCTCGGGTACTTAGCTGAGACAGAGCAAAAGCAAAGTTTCTATCACTTGCATGGCTGTGCGGCTCATCTTCATGCGACTCATCCTCATGCAGCCCATCCTCATGCTGCCCATCCTCATGTTCATTATGTGAAGCTGGCAAATACTCTTTTAAAAAATCATACTTTGACAAGTTAAGTTGGGACATTCTGGCACGATTAAGGTTGCAAAATGTTATAGCTGGAAAGGGGAGCCTGGCGCTGTTCACAAGCGTGACCTTTTCTTGTGTTGGGTATTGCAGATAGGTAGCTGTTAACTGACTGCACTGCCAAAGCATACAGCCTAGCACCAGCAACACAAATGCTGTCCAGCAGCAACTTCTCCAGCGGTCCTGGGAACGTATGATATTGGGCACTCCATGAGCGCTGGTATGACGTAGAGTATGGCTGCAAATTGACCATAAAGACGTGTTCTGCTGCCAGCTCATGTGTGAGCAGTTATAGACGTCCAGTACAATAAATCCTCAGCCTATAGATTAAATAGCAAATAGTCAACGACTGTCCAAAATTATTGTCAACGCTTGTTTTGGTATCAGAAACTCAATTGTCAGTACTAAGAGCTTACTGGTCAGTAAAGTCAGGAAGTCTATGGTTTATATAACCCAATTAAGGTAAAGTGATCCATCCCTGGAGATCACATCCTGCTGTTAATTAGAAGCCAGGTAATTAAAAAAGAAAGAAAGCAGCTTTAAATAATCTTCAATAGTCCCAGTACAGTGAAAACCAATCTATTTACTTCATGTGTTTTAGAAAGAGGTAATAGTGATGTTTGAGTTTCATAATTTCAGCTGTATGAAATAACCGTAACAAACAATTATGACTAATAACTGCTCTTAGTGACTTTGTAAATAAATTACAAACTGAAATATGAAAGCAAATATTGGTCAGTACCTGACAACAACAAAAAAGAATTCTGTATGCAAAAGCATGTAATTATTTTACCTATGTATTAATATTATTATTAATATTGTTATTATTATACAGGATTTATGTAGCCCCAACAGTTTGTGCAGCGCAGTAGAGATCTGCGCCCGGGAGAAAAGGAGAGACACAGGGTAAGTCAATGCAGGCAGCCAGGCAGCATGCGGGTGCAGACTTCATGGGACACAGAAGACTCAGCAGTCAGCGCTGGATCAGAGACCGGCACCAGCACTGGAGGGACTCCTGAAAACTACTGGAAAGAAGAAGATGATCAGATCAAGAGGCATCATTTAAGGTAAGTCCTTAAAGCAGCATGGGGGGGAGGGGGTTTAGACTTTTATGTCACTTTAAGTAAATCAACCCCTTAATCTTTAATGCCAAATCATGTGGACATCATGAACAGAGAGCGCCTGTGTGGGACCTGCTCCACTGGCAGCAGCGTACCCTATAATTTTGCCAACAAAGTAATGCCAATTCTAAACAGAAGCCTTGTTATTATGCTTTAGGCCTTTAGCGCTAAACCACTTAGTCATCATGTGGCAGGTAGGTAGGCACAACAGCAGTAAAGTAGTGCTATCCTCCTGAACAACAGGCAGCTGACACACCAGAAAGTGTGTCTGTACGAAACCAATATTAGCAGAGCAGGCAAGGAGATAGGTAAGTATTAACTGTGAGCCTTTTTTATTTTTATTTTTTTTATTATATTTTTTTTTTTGTCTAAGGAAGTGTTTCTTAATTTATAATCATATCTACTAATTTTTAAATGTGTTAATATAGATTTCCCAATTTATATCTTGAGATTTTTTTTAATTTTCTTATATTGATCTGCATTATATTATATATGACATACATTTCATAGAAATATATCTAATTTTGTGTCACACTAAAAATACCACTCCAATAAATCTACAATATCAAATAATTCCACTACAAATTCTGTGCCCATGTGTGACAATACACTTCCGAAGAGAAAACATGTATCTTAACACCAAAACAGACATGATCCTGGTGATCTTATACACAGCATATCAAAACAGTGTAAATGTTACAATTGTGCTAAAAGTGTTATAACAAACATTTACTATTATTTGTGCTCAGAAGTTCTTGTGCTTAATAACGTGTTTGAAAGAGTTCTTAATGGAATAAAAAATTCATAAATATACTGTATGTGTAATGATACCAAGACTTTATTAATCATCTGATGCTTTGATTGAGTTAAACATGCTTAGTGGGAAACATCTGTTTATCTATCCATTCTTAGACTGACGTACTACATTGTGAGATCCCATGTAGTCCAACTTTACCCCCTCTTCTGGTAGTCCCGCCAAGCCTATTCAGTGTATAATGGAGTGGGGGGTGTTGGTTTCCCCCCCCCCCCTCTACGCTGAGGATTCTCTACTAAACACCCCACAGTAAGTACATAACTCTGTACTATAAATGCACAAAGTATCTTTGAGTATGTCAAAGATTGATGGGTATTTATCAAAGTGAACATACAGTATGTATATGAAATGTATTGTGAAATTGATTGCATATTGTTTGTCCCTACTAGAATTATGTCACCTCATCCCCTGAAGAAGCAATCATTGAAACACATTGGGAAGAAAGCATACCACTGTTAAGAACAATTGATGTTGAGTTGTTAATACATGAGGTGTTACTGCTGAACACTGGACTATGCACTAATGTATAAAATTGGATATAAGATACAGTGGATGCGGGGGGACTTGGGGGAATATGCAATTGTTTATAATTTAATGTTACAATGTATTTTAGTGGACATTTTTAATGTTGTGTATCTCAATAAAGCTTTAATATTTTAAGATGTTGTTAAATATATGAGTGCTCTCTGAAACCTCAAACTACCTATGTGGATGCTTCTTTATACAGTATGTGTGATTATCTAATCCAAGTGCAAAAGCCAATAAATCCTCCGTGCTCACACCAAATGGACAGAAGAGTTAAAGACCCTGCAAGAAAAGGTCAGTATATGCCTGGTATGGACTCCCCCACTTCAGCGTTTGCATGGAAATTCCTTCCATATGTGGTTTCCTTCAAAGGATCAGCTCCAATCGATTTATGGCACGACTTGGTCAGGGACATCAGGTGTCCATGATGAAGTCTCGGTAATGCAACATGTGTAGGATGGAGCTAGAAGACAGGGTAGTTTGTGATTACGGACATCAGGGACAGGGATTCTGATGATACTGGTGTGTTAGTTCTCTCCTGCCCAGGAGTGTGGCAGTCAGCTTGTACTGTACCTGCTCATTCTCACTCAGATTAGATGCACATTTTAATGTGAGTAGATTATAGGTAATTTTATTAAAACTGTTTTGATGTGAAATGGAGAGCACTATGTATTGTTATTGGGCTATATTTAACTAATTGGTTTGGTAAGCTCCCTGAAACATGTTGTCTGATGTTTTTCACCACTGTGACAAAGTAAAATGTTACTGGACCTTTATTTTTTGTTGCTCTCTACTTCCTACTGCATGGTAGATGAACAAAGTATATGTAATGAAGTTACCTTTTGTGAAGATATAGTCTGAAGAGGTTGTTTTACTTCACACTTTGTCTTTCATATTGTATTGTATGCCTTAACAAGACAAATTCAAATACATTTTTTTATTGCTATAGCTGTTCAGGAAATATTGACTGAGCCCTTCAGCTGAAAGGAAGTACAGGCACAGGCAAATGAGTGAGATCTCTAGAGATCATTATCATGTTTCTTATAGCACATAATATCTGTGCATTACAGGATAAAGAAGGTAGTGACCTCCCACATCTTCCCTGAGCTTACATGACATCCTATCTATAATTGGTATATTTTTAAGCAAAGTTAATCCGACTGAGCTTTGTATTTTCCCCAGTGAGTCAACAGGCTCCTGCTTCTGACACTTACCTTACTGAACACCAGACAAACTTTGTAATAAGTATTATAATGCACAAAAGTGTTAAAATCTGCAGGTTCTGTTAGCGGTCAGATCATGTTTATGGCTTGAACAGTTGGAAATACGACCAAGCTGACATTCTCTAATCTGATCTCTCTAAGCTTCATTTGTGTTTAAGAATAGTACCTTAAAAATCTAATATGAAAAAGGAGCAGTACATTTAGTTCAGTACTTTGCTTAAAGTATATCTCTAGCCAAAACTTTCATTTTGTATGTAGTTTTGTAAGGAGTGGATGAGAGTCCTTTTTTATTGCTGTCTGTATTTAGACTGGAGACAGTCTCTCTGTGTTATCTATTGTCAATGGGACATTGTCAATGGGACAGAAACCAACATTTTTGAGAACCAAAATGTTACCGGAAGAGGACATGGGTGAAAATCTTCCATTGGCAATTGTCTAAAATAGGATTTCTCTTTGCCTTTTGACATATCGTCTCACTTTCTGCTGTGTCTCTGGGACAGGAAAGAAGAGGAAATCTCCTAAACTGGACAAAGATATATAAAAAAAAACCTGATGGGGATTCTATCCATTCTCTACTCTATCTAAAAAGAAATACAGTTCAGTTAGAGATGCACTTTGATAAAAATTACTAAATACCCTGTTTCCCCGAAAATAAGACCTACCCCAAAAATAAGACCTAGTACTATTTTTGGCAATTGCTAAAATATAAGCCCTACCCCGAAAATAAGACCTAGTTGTGACCATTCCCAGGGCCGGTGGTGGCATAAGGGGTTAATTTGAAGAGCGGCAGGAGAGGTAGGAGAGAATCAGCGGTGCCAATGAAGCCAGCGCTAGAGTAAGTGAGGCGGCAGCGGAGGGAACAGAGCCGCATAAGCCGATGCCTTCTCTATAGTGCCGGCTCCTGTCACAGGCGGAGTGATACCAAATGCACTCCGCCTGTGAGGAATCTATAGTGAAAGTGCACTTCACTCATTCGGGCCAGTGATTGGTTAACAAATTGCTCTTGGAAAAGTACGGCACCCCTGATTGCCCTGATCACCATATTCTTAACTTTGCTATTTTGGATTTTTTAATTTGGATTTGCATTAACTTTGGATTGTTGTACATTAAAAAAAAATAAGACCTACCCCGAAAATAAGACCTAGTGTGTTTTTTTGAGCCAAAAAAAATATAAGACAGGGTCTTATTTTCGGGGAAACACGGTAGTAAAATCTGATTTAAATAACTATATAGCATTTTTCTGTATGTTTCCAGATGTATTGCTAGAAGACTGAAGTGTCCTCTGTTGTAATAAATGTTCTTTGTCTTTTTAATAAAATTCTCTATACAATTTATATTAATGGAAGTAAAGCAAAAGGTGTCATCAGCAATTACTCTATCCACTGGTTTCTAATAATGCATCCATGTGGGGAGGAAGGCATCTGATTGAGGTCATCTGGCAAGTAACTTGGCTCTAAATGTGCATGAAATGTATGAAGAAGAAGGAGGAGAAGAAAACACTTACAAGTGGCATAACAACCCCTACAAGGACTCTCCTGCCAGACTGAAATCACCAAAGATGAAGGTAGACCAAATCACCAAAGATGAATTCTACTG